AATTAAAATTTTACTTTATATGGGTTGTGATCTAAGAAAATCAAATTCTGAGAAATTTTTGACTAAAATTAATATCTTATTACATTTTAATCTAAATGTAATAAAAATTAAAATGCAATTAAAATCTCAATTTTATTAAAAAATTCTCAGAACTTGATTTTCTTAGATTACAACCCATATGCTAAATATAATTTTTTTAATAAAATAAGTTCAGATTTAACTTTAACTTATAAAAACTTTTTTTTTAGATTTTTTTTTTTTCTATTAACAAGCTTCCATATATTTTGATTTATATAATCTTTTATTAAAGTAATTGATTTAAATTGTAATTTTACTATTTATATAAAAATATCTGTAATAATTAATAATATAATAATTAATATTCAATTTAATGATTTTAGATATAAAGTAATAATAAAAAGTTTTTTAGATAATCTAATTTCGTTTATTAACCTCCAATTGGTACAAATATATATACCCATCAACCAATCATAATTTATTAAGCTAATCATAAAAAAATTTTTCACAAGATTTAGAAACGATCCATTTCACAATTTTTCGTGAAGAGTGAATCAATTGAAATGGTCAGATATTCTATTGAGCCAGCCAATCCTGAAAAGAGTATGTTTACCTTTGAAAGTATAATTGGTTTAAATCGTTCAAAATTTCATTTATCAAAAATCATATAAATTTTAGCCTCAAAGACTCGTGGTTCTTATTTACGAGTACATTTCAAGAATACTCGTGAAACGGCCAAGGCGATCTCTGGCAAAAAACTGTCTAAAGCCATTAAATATCTGGAAGATGTAAAAGAGCATAAGCAAGCTGTTCCCTTTAGACGGTTCCACGGTGGCGTTGGTCGATGTGCCCAAGCCAAAGCTTTTGGATGCACTCAAGGTTTTTTTAATTTTAAAGATAAATTATCATAAATATATAAATTTTTTTTAAAACATCGTCGATTAAAATTATAAAATAGGTCGATGGCCCGTAAAGAGTTCCGAATTTTTGCTAGGACTATTAAAAAATGCTAGAAGTAATGCAGAAGTATGTTTCGTATTTTTAATATAATATATATATATATATATATTTTAATTAAATATTTTTAACCTTAATTTATATTATTAGCTTAAACGTTTGGATGTGGAAAATTTGATCATCTCTCACATACAAGTGAATCAGGCTCCTAAACAAAGACGAAGAACCTATAGAGCTCATGGTGTAAATAATATATATTTTTTTATTTATTTGATTTAATGATTAATTAGATTTATAATTTAATGATTTATTAATTTATTAGCGCATTAATCCTTACATGAGTAGTCCATGCCATATAGAAATAATTGTTACTGAAGAAAATGCTCAAGTAAAACGTGAAAGTGATGAAACTAAGAAAGTACAAAGACTTAATCGCAGGCAGATTGCCAGAAGAAGATTACAAGCTTAAAGCTAATGCAAGAATAAAAATAATCATATTGCAATGAATTATATGTCCTATTATTTTTAGTCTGATATGCAAATGAAAATCGAAAAGAATATATATATTAGATCAAATAATTGCAATGGTTCGATATTATTATTTTATTATAACAATTAATTAAAAAGACAAAACTAAATACAAATCATTTCTTATATTATTTTATTCTGTCTACTTTTCAGATATTTTTGGCATTTATTCCTTAACTGAGCTGCTGTGTGTTGATATATATTAAGCTTTATGTCTCTAAACATTGCGTCATAATTATTACCGTATTTCTGAATCAATTCTTCTAAAAATTGTTTTTCTCCTTCAGATTGATATTTTTCACGTTTACAAACGTTCGCTGCTTGAGCTTCCAAAGCTTAATTTGCGCAAAAACATTAATTACATTTATATTTTTAAGCATTCAATACATAATTCTTAAACAAAAGAAAACAAACCTCTAATAATGTTTGTTTTCGCGGGAACGGGATCAATTTCAGTATCAAATACTTCCTCTTCCTCTTCTTCTCGAGACTTTCCAATAATAACGCTTATTACGTTTCCTTTTTCATCCCGTTCTATTATACCTTCTTCAGGGCCTAGCGTTTTTTTTATTTCTTCCATATCTATTTTTTGAGCTTCTTCGGGATATAATTTTTCAGTACCACCTGCAATACCATTTAGAGAAGTCATAAGACCCATACGTTGATAACTTTGCGAATACAATAGAGAGGAGAAATCATTAATTAATGGAATATTCAATAGATTTAAATTTAAAATGAATCAAATCATTTGAAATTAAATACTTTTGACGTAAAGTAGCTTTTTTATCCCAGTTAGCTGCGATAACGGAATTCCCCTGTATAGAAAAATAATAGATCATTTAAATTTTAAGTTTATAACTAATTTAAAATTACAAATAAAATGTATTGAAACAATAAATAACTTTTATTGAAACTTTTTTAAAATGTTTATTCGCATTTTTACGCGAAACTTTAAGTGTTGGATTGCGTGTCTTGTGTCGTTTCCGAGGTCTAGCCATGCTATTAAAGAGAGGAAAACTTATGAAATGTCCAGTCGGTAGATTTTATCAGTCCCCATGAAGATCTTTCCATTTTATACCAACGAATCACGAATACTTGTTATATAAAATTAATAATAATCCTTTTAAAATTTTTTAATGAGCGTATATATTAGTATATTAATAGATTATTTATTATCAATTCTAATATTAATTTTTGAAATCCTTATTTATTTTTATAATTCTTTAATATTTAAAATAAATTTTTATATTATGGAATTAATATTTATTTTAATCATAGACTGGATAATTAACCCATTTTATATTTAATATACAGATGCTTTTTAATAAAAAACAATTTAATTTTTTTTGTAATTTTTTTTTTGTATAATATTTTTATTACATTTTAGTTTTTGATATTAGTAAATTAAATTTAAGTATAGTATAATAAAATTTTTCTTAAAAATTTTTTAATATAATTTATAATCTATATTTTTATATTAATAATTTAAAATAATAATATAATATTATAATTCATAATTTTATTGATAATTTTTATATTAATCTTAATAATAAAAATGACACATTTTTTTATTTATTTAAAGGAAAAAAATATCTTTTTAGAAGTTAAAGATGGATTTGTAACTATTAGGATATAACTTTTTGGATTGCAACCTAGGGTTGTAACTAGTTACAGAATCTTAAATATGATAATTATAATATAAAAATTTGTAATTAGTTGCAATTTTTTAGGTTTTAACCTTTATTATAATCAGTTAAAGGTTTTTCAGATCATTTACAATCCATTTTTATTAGAAGTTATTATTTTTTCATTTGTTATTAAAATATATGATTTATTATTATCATACATTATTTATATCAAATAATAATTTCAAAAAAATATAATAATTTATAAATAAAGCTTTTTATAAGATTATTCATAATGTTTCAGGTGTACTTATTTTTTTAAATCTGAAACTTTTGTCCAGTGAACTTTAAGTTTTGCTTTATATATTCAAAACTAATTTGAAACCTTAATTTGAAAATATTTTGTAAATCAAATTAGATGAAATTAGTTTCACCTGAAACTTATAATTTAAAATAGGTTTATTAATATGTTTTCAAATAAATATATAAATTTATATCTTATAATAACTTACTTATTTTAGTAAATTTATTATAATATATCCTTTTGATATTTATATAAAATTTTTTTTTAGAGCATTAAGATTAACTTATTAAATTATAAGAAAATATTATCATATAAAATTTTTATTATAATAAATTATATTATATAATATAAGTTCTATTAAAACAGATTATCTAAAGTGTAATCTATATAATTTACAAAAGCTTTAGTTAAAATAATATTCAAAACACTATTATATATATTATTATTTATATATTATTTAGGAGTACTTTTAACTTTACTCAAAAACTTTTTTATCTATTCTAGTTTTGTTTCATATTTATAAGAAATTAATTTAATGTATATATTTAATTTTTAAAATTTTAATTATAGTAAGAAATATTTTGAATAAATTAGAGGTTATATTATTAAATTTTTATTAATAATGTAATTATTCATTTAATAATTATAAAATATTTAATAATAACAAAATTTTGTATCTTTTTTCCTAATGAATTTCAAAATTTTAGATATTTTAAGTATATTTGTCCTTTTTGTAAATAAAAGAAAAAATAATATAAATTTATAAAAACTAGTAATAGTTATAGAATTGATATAAAAAATAAAGAATTTTTTATGATTTGATTTTTTATAATAAAATAATTATTAAACAGATTGATCTAATGATCATTTAAATCAATAGATATCAATAGATTTTATAAAAATAATATTTATAATTATAAACTTAATTTTAAATTTTTTTGATTAAAATTTAAATTTAATTTAATATGTATTTTTATTTAATTAGATTAAATTGAAATTTTGATTTCATCAATTATCTTATTTGATTTTGAATTTAAAGAACTTTATATATTACAATAAATTTATCCTAATACAATTTATTAATTAAAGCCATTTCCAGATATTAAACTAGGTCACTTAATTCAAAACCCAATCTCAAACATTGCAACGGCTATACATGCCACAATTAATGCAAAGTTGAACATATTTGTAGCGGAATTTTCATTTGCGTGGCAGAAGTAGAATTGGTGGTAGGTTTCGATTTAATACCGGTGTACTTTATTGTTGTGTAATAAACAACTTTGAATTGAGCTGGATCAGGATTCCCTGTAAATATTTTGCTAATCATGATTTTTAATGAATTAATTGTAAAAATTTTTAATAAAATTGAACGTAAAAAATTAACGCTTTATAACTTTTTGATCAAGCTAATAAATCTAATCCTTTTGCTGATAAATTAGAAATTTATTTATCATCATTTTCTAATGGATGCATAAATTTCCTGCGACATCTCTACGTATATATTTACCATATAAAATTCACGTTAAAAATATTTGATATTTGATATCTTTTTGGAAGAGTACACCCGAATGCTTTTTTTACATGTTGTTTTGTATACAATATCACAAAATGTTTCTCATAAAACTACTCTAACAAATGATCAATCATCTCCTACATGTTACTTAAAAATCATTAACCCTCGCCCTGGAGATCGTTTTAGTCCAGGTGATGAAATTAACGTGAAGTGGGATTTAATTGGCCTTAAATGTCGAAATTCAACGGATGGTTTGGTGTCATTATATCAGATAAACGCGATTTTATTTGTTAATTGGAAGTGGGACTATTGTTTGATAATAATTACGACTGTAACATTTTCATTGTTACATTTATTTATTTATATATATTTTTCAAGAATTTATATCAAGAAACAAATACCAACATTACCTTATTTACATATCCTGTACAAATAATACTTTCACCGAATATTCGTCATTCAAGTTTATTTTTCTTGGATATTGAATTAACCTTTACAAAAATTCCTCCAAGATTAATATTTGACGTTATGGGACCATTCACAATATTACCTCTTCCAGAATCACAGCTGTCTAATGAAACCGATACACGTACTGATAATGGCCAAAATGTACAAGAAGTTAAAGGAAATTTGTCTATGGCTTCTAAAGCAATCAGAATAAGTTGGATAAATATAATTTTCAATTATATTTACACAATAATGAACGTATAGGAAAATATCATTTCAAAAAAAAAAAATTTTTTGCATAAACGGTAAATTGTAACGTGTTAATAGCACTTTTTAGGATAACCCGCAGAATGTAGATATTTGTGATTCTAAATTATTTATTTTAAAACTTACGAATTTTTTTTTTTTTGATTTTTGTCCTAAAAGAACACCTTAAGAGGATTTGGGTAATTTTTTGAAACCAAACATAGTAGAAAGAATTGTTGAATCTTTTTTATTCTTTTTATTTTCACCATTGGTTAAAGGAATGATGTCATCAATGAATCATTCATAATTTTACTTTGCTTGAAAGATCATTGGTCATTAAACTTCTTTGGTCATGTGATTTTCTTTTCAAATAAAGTCTCGTGCAAACCTTCACCAACTTATTCATTTTGTGTTGTGTGTTACTGTCGCTTTTTTGTTTTGTTTATTATTTTTCCCTTAACTCGATAATTTTATTTGTCCAAAGTAATAGGGAAAAGTTATACACGGATCGACTTCACAACATACAATATTTCAAATACTTTAGGAGCGATCAAAAATGTCATACTCTCCTGGTACAATTGTTTATGCAAAGCTTAAAGGATACCCTTGGTGGCCAGCAAGAGTGAGTACTTATATTACAATAAAGTTTATATATTTTCGCGGCGCGAATATGTACTTGTACTCATTTTTTTTTTTTTGATTTATTTGTTTTGCAGGTTGAAGTTGAATCTTCATTACCTTCCCAAGTTCGTTCTAAAAAACCAAAAACACCTAAACCTACAATTGGTGTTCGATTTTTTGGGACTAAGGACTAGTATGTTTTTTTCTTATCAAATTCATCACAATTTTCAATAGGGTTATATTATTTGCAATTAATATTTATATTATATCTTTTATTAACAATAGTGGCTGGTTTGGAAGTAATGATCTTAAACCATTTGACAAGAAGGATGCCGAAATAACATTGCAAAAAATGAAAAAGCGTGACAAATTATTAGAAAGATCTATTCGTGAAGCTTTAGATCCTTCATCCTTTGATGATCCTATAGATGAAGAAGGTGCCGATGATGATGTATTTGATGATGATGGTGAATTAGAAAATGAAAGTAAGAAATCAAGTGAATCTTACGATAATGAAGACGACGAAGGAGAATTTTCAAAAAGATCAAAAATTCGTAATAAAGGAAATAAAAAAATTAAAAAGGCCACAACTCCTAAAGGTTCAGATCATCGTAGAACAAAATCATTGGGCGGTGGAAAGGCAAAGAAAAAATCACATACTTATACATCAGAGGAAGATGATGATGTAATTAATGATGTAAAAGGGGGGAAGAAACGTAGAGCCAGTGAGGGAGCTACTATAAAGCGTAAACAGAGAAAGATAGACTATACTGATGATGAAAAAATGGATTTGGATGAGGATAAGAGCGAAGATGAGACAAAAAAGAAGGTACGATTTTATTTAATCAGTCGAAAATAATTTTATGGAGGTTTTAAATTCATATATTTCTTGCGACTTTGTTATATAATAATTCAGGAACGACGACAAAATGCTAAAAAAGATAGAACATCTAGAAGTGAAGGTTCGAAATCATCTGATAATGAATCACCTGAGGATGATAGGAATGAAAGGATTAAAAGTGATATTATCGATGACGATGAAAGCAAATCAAGTAGATTAGAATCTGAAATTCATCATCGTCCATCTAAATCGCGACAGTCGAGTACGTTTTATCTTTCCAATTTTTCTTTCCGATTTACACTTATATATATTTACAATTTGATATATATTTAATGCAGGAACACCCGGTGACAGGTTGCTTCATTTGAGGCATAAACTTCAGAGAATGACTCTGAAAGATGACGTCGAGGTAAATTTATAATAATTCTGATTGTTTCATCTTTAAACTCTTTGTTTGATATCAACCATATAAAATATCTATTTATTATTAATTAGTCATTAGATATGGATAAGATTGATGAAGTATTTACCGAAGTTGAAAATTTTAAGATCACTATTCCTTTATTGAAGGTAATAAAAGCTATAATGATTTCTACTGATTTATCTTAATATATATATATATTTTTAATAAATCTTTCTAAAATATTCTAATCAGGAAAGTAAAATTGGTAAACTTATGAGAAAAATTGCCGAAAAGGATTTCGATCCAGACCCAAAAAGAATTATAGAACGAAGCAATGAATTAATTAGGAAATGGAAATGTTTATTAGAAACACCTACTCAAGAAGGATCTGACGAAGAAACATCACCCAAAACAGTTAATCAAGTTGAATCGCCACCAAACCTTGATGAAGTCGTTGATAACGAAAAAAGTGACCTACTTTTGTCTTATGAACAAGCAATTGATATTAAGAAAGACGAAGATGATGTCGATAATAGTATTGTGAAAGTGGAAAAGGAAAATTTCCCAACAGCAATGGATGTTGACGATTCTAATAATGGTCAACCGAAGACTGGTGAAGAAAAACTGGTAGTTGAAGACAAAGATAATATTGTCACAAATGGATCTTCATCTACAACTAACAATCAAGAAGTAAATAGTCATGAAAAAGAGGATAATAAAAGTACAACTCTTGAGTTGTGAGTTTACGAATGTTTAAAGAGCTTGTTTTCTTAGCATAGGGTATATATATATATCGCTCATTTTCTTAAAGTTTTGGATCACAAAAAAAAGCTTTTTCACTAATATATCTATCTCGTTATTTAGCTTACATATATCCTTGTTGCCTTTGAAAGTTGTAAATATTTATATAGATTAAGCAGAGAATAATTACAAAATAATACTTTGTTACGACAAAGAAAAAAAAAATTTTTTTTTACGAATTTAATCTGTCTGATTTTGTTCTCATACAAGCTTAGTTTACCTTTATTGTATTATTTCAATTAGTATTTTATACCCTTTGAAAGTTTACTCTATTATTCGATGAAATAAATATATTCTTATCGAAAATATATATATATATATATATTTTGTAATGAATTTTATAACCAAAATATTTTTTTTTTAGAAAGGTTACCGAAGTGAAGTAGGATCAGCCACCAACTTAATTTAATCTACACTATATGTTACACAAGATGTGATTATAAATATAACTTGAAATGAAAAAAAATAATGTAATGATGGTAGGGAGCTTGGCCAATCTTCAAAATGTCTAAACTTATACCTTCTAATGTCGCGTCAAATCAGACAATGTCTGAACCTAAGTCGCCACTCGTAAAGTCTGTTAAAGACTATTTTGTAAATAAAGACCATAGGTTTTACATTGCTGTTTCGGCCACAGTGATTTTGGCAGGAGTTGGCCTTTATTACTTTTGGTCTCCCAAGCCCCCAAGACCAAAATCACAGAGACAGACGCAACGTTCAAGAAGAGCGAGATCAACGAGACCTGCCGGAAATGCAGACACTGGTATATTTCTAATAAATCCTAAGCCTTTATAAGGTTATATGTTTCCTGTAACTTATTAACCACATTCACAATTCGACATTTTACAGGAAAAGAGAGAGGAAGTAGAAACAAAGAAGATCTTGAGGTTGAAGAGTTCGAAAGCTATACTCAAGAACAAATTAGCGCTTTACCTATTGAGGTGATCAAAACATTATTGATAATATAGATTTATTATGATTATTATTCTATTTTAATGTTTTCATACATATATTTAGAAACGCGTCACGGTCTCACAAATACTTAAAAGCCGCGGAAATGAGGAATTTGGTCAAAGCAATTATTCAAGAGCTATGAAGCTTTATACGCAAGCGATAGCTTTTAATCAAGATCCAGTATTTTATAGCAATCGAGCTGCGTGTTATTATAACACGAATGAATATGCGAGTGCTATCGAAGATTGTAATAATGCATTGCGAATGGATCCTCTATACGTCAAAGCGTTAAATAGACGCGCTATGGCATACGAACAAACCTCTCGTTATGAAGAATCTTTGCATGGTAAAATGTTTTATTACAACTTTATTGATAAATTTTTAATTAATTTCATATCTCAAATTTTAAATAGATTTTACTGCAGCTTGTATTATCGGTGAGTTTAGAAATGAAAATTCAACAAAATCCATTGATCGTCTTTTAAGAAAAGTTGCTAGCATTAAAGCTCAAGAAATTATTCAGGTAAATAAAAATCAAAAATGTATTTCTGTTTGTTAATATATTATTAAGTTAAACTCGCAAATCTTTACTAGAATCGAGCAAAACGACTTCCTTCATCAAAATTCATATCTTCCTATTTGGAGGCATTTCGCAAAGGTTTTTTTATATATATCATTTCTCTTTACTATAATATATAGTGATACTTTTTTTATAGAAAAAAAATGTTTCAACATTTAATATTACGCACAGTAACCATCGAGCCTTATACAGTTGATACAGCTGATAATGAAAAGGAAGGTGATAATTTCTATAGAATGGCAGAAACTTACTTGAATGAAAAACAATATGAAGCAGCAATGGAGGCGTATGGGAAAGCCATAGACGCTGGTTGTTCTAATATGGCTGAAGCCCTTAATATGAGAGGTACCTTCACTTATTTAATGGGTGATTCTAATGGCGCTTTGGAGGATTTCAAAAAGGCACTTGAAATTAGGTCCGACTACGTTCAGGCATATGTAAAGTGTGCAACAATTTACATGGAACAAGGTTGATAAAAAAATTTACTATATTTTTTTATTATTTTTTATTTTTAATGAAAGTGTCTCGAAACAAGTCTATAACAATAACAATACAATTGGTAGGAAACACGGATATCGCATGGCAAGAATTTGAGGAAGCTATTAAAATTAATCCTAATGATCCAGACATATATTATCACAGGTTTCGTTCTGGTTTCTATCTATTTTATATATATATATATAGTGTTAATCTTTATCTAATTTATTCTTTGATATCATAATGTTAGAGGACAAGGTATGTTATATTTAGTACATCTTTGAATTGTTTATGATTCTTCATGGTTATAAAAATCCTTGTAATTGATTATATATTTGTATATTTAGTCTATTTTCTTAATAGTATGTTTGACAAGGCAGTCAATGAATATCAGCGTAGAATTGAACTCGATCCAGATTTTGTTTATGCGTATATTCAACTTGCCATATCCCAATATAAAGATGGTTCTGTTACAGAAGGAATAAAAACTTGTCGACTGGGTCTTCAAAAATTTGCTCAATCGGCTGAAATGCATAATTACTACGGTGAACTTCTTGCTGATCAAAGAAATGTTGATGAAGCGATGGAACAATTTGACAAAGCTATCGAATTACAGAATGAAAATTTTGCATTACCTTTTGTCAACAAAGCAATGCTTTGTTTTCACATTAAAAATGACCCAGCTCAAGCAGAAGAATTCTGTCGTAAAGCTTTGGAAAGTAAGTGTAATGGAAATTTATTTTTTTGCTATTAAATCAAACGAGTTTATTTATCTAACAAAATTTAAAGTTGAACCAGAAAGCGATATTGCAAACACGATAATGAGTGAAATTTTACTTGCTAGAGGAAACCTGGAGACGGCACTACAATATCTTGAAAAATATCAAGAGGTTGCACGCACTGAAGCCGAACTTCAAGGCATCCTAGAGTATGCAGAAGCTGCAAGATCTCATATCGCTTTTAAACGAAGATATCCGCAACATGCTGATCGTTTAGCTTCACTTACTGGTAAAAAATAATTTTTATGTGATTTAAACATGCTTGCATTATTTCCTAAATCGTATAGTGTAATTAAAAACGTTAAGCACTATTAGATTGGGTTATGATGCTGCATATGCAACTTCAAAAAAAAAAAAATATTAACTATATATTATTATGTTAATTTGAAAATTGAATAAAAAAAAATGTGGAATATATTTGATAAAACAATGACAATTATTATTATTAAGATACATAATTTAAAGAATTATAATTAATAATATAATTGCAATAATAATAATATAGGTTTACCTTTTTAGAATTTTATATTATCTCTAGTTTTGAATACTTGGATAAGATATGATTTTATAATAAAAAAAAATCTATATTTCAATGTTATTTATTATATCCTTTATTTGTTATAGATTATATATTAGTCTAATAAATTTTATTATATCATATTGTTCAAAATATTTTATTATATTCTTTTATTTCAAAAATAATAATTAAAAATTAGGAAAAATTTATATCCTGCCTTCTGCAATTTTTTTTAAACATCACTTTAGGGATGTGATATAATAAAATTATATTTCCGGTGATGCAATAATATATCACTTTATTAAAATTTCTGTTTCTTTAATTTCTTTAAGTTAGACTTTCCATCATCAGGTTTAAGACTTTACATTTTAAAATGAATTAAATAAATATTTTAAAATTGAAACCCTAAAATCAACAATGCCTTTTTCTTTTAAAGAACCTTTTGACCCCTAATCCTGAAGCCACATAATAATATAATAATGCATTAATAAATCATTTTTTTTTTCCCGAACCCTAACTATAAAGTCACGCAATAAAATAAAAATGCATTAATAAAGAAATTTTCTAATAACTGATAAATCTTTATCTAAAGCTACGCAATAAATAACAACCAAACTAACCTTCTATACTGACCTTTCCGTAACAAGGTCCTCAACTTCTTCATTTATATCAAAAATTGAATTAATATTTGGTGGTAATGACATGACGTGACGAAACAGAAATATTTGAGAAAAAATATATCGAAAAGTTAAATATAATATCAAATTTTATATAAATTATTTGCTTTTCATACAAATATATAAAAATTTCTTTAAAATTATCGCATCGTATATTAGCAAAGAAATATCACATGATATACATATAGTGAAAATGATCTTATAAAAATATTTTATTTTATTTGGTTATATATCTTTTACTTATAAAATTTAAATCATATTTCTGTAATACAATCTTTAATACTTAGACCAAAGTTTAAAACAATAAGTTTTATAAATAATTTATATAAAGAAAATATACAGAAATTATATATTTAAAAAACTTATTATATATATAGAATAATAATATAATAATTTTGTAAATATTTCCATATATTATATATGAAAAATTGTTTTTTTTTTCATATTTTAAAGATATTGAATTTTTAATTCTAATTATTAAATTATATGGGGTAAAATCACATTACGGATCATATGATTTACTATGCCTCATGACTTGATTTTACTGAAAACGTTCCCATATACATTATTTTTTGAATTTATGTTTAATCATTAAATTATATATACATGTATAACTTTTTTTTGAGTTTCTATATATCTAATATATCTAATAATTAAATTATATACAGTTGAATTTCTTTATAAAAATTTTTATATTTTTAATTTTTTTTATTGTAAATTATATAAGTGATCCTGAATTTTATTAAATAAAATAATTAAATATAATTAATTTTTATAATAAAACTTATTATTAAGAAGATTTTATATCAAGTATAATAAATAAAACTTTATTAGCAAAGTTTTTTATATAATGAGTATAAAATATTATACTTTTAGTAGTTAATATGAAAAATTAAAAGTCATGTGAGTTTCTAAAAACTGTTATTACCAGTGGATTGTCCTAAAATATTTTAATATATTAATATATTAAAATGTCTTAGAATAATCCATTTGTATCAGACTAATATATCATAGGACGTTGTAGTCTATTAATTAATATGTTCTAAGACATTGTAATCTATTAATTAATATGTTCTAGAATGTTATAATCTATTAATTGATATGATCTAAAGATGGAGCCTGCTTTCCCTCTCTGTGACTTATTGATTAGTAAATATGGATGAGGTGCATGCTTATTTGGTTGCCTTTCAAAATACTAAAATAGTGTAAAAAAAGAGATGATAGGTAGCGCATTGAATTTGCGATTAATTTCAGCTGACATTATGCCATAATTTTGACTGATTTTTTGGGCATGTGATTTGAGGATCTAATTTGGTGTCATGATAGTATCCTGGTTAAAGATGGCACTGTAATTAAGAAGTTGCAACTCGGTAAGTTGCAACTTGGGTTGCAACTGGTTGCAACTCCTTGCAAAATTTATTTTAATATAAAAATTTATAAATAGTTGCAACTAGCTAAAAATTTTAAAATTAATTACAGCTCCATTTTTAGTCCTAGTAGTGTCATGAAACTCTCCTGGAACTATCATGGAACTGGCAGGATGCCTGAAATGTTCTATTTATTCGTCAGTTTCAGTCTACTTATATGCGAGCTTGGATGCCAAGTTATTATGCCCAAAGTTCTAGTCGAAATTATGAAATAGTGTTAGCTGATATTAAACGAATAAGTCTTACGAGAAAACTATACTATAACTGAACATATATCTAAAAATATAGAGCCTTCTTCCAATTTTTTATATATAGATTACGAAAAAAACTCTACTTTCAGATACATATCTTTTTATCTTTCTTTTACGATTTGCTCATTAAGTTTAGATGAAGGTTTCTGCCATTTTTATATAATATAATTCTGCAGAAGCCTTCATTTTCTGAATACATATCATATGTGATATAAGCCTTCTGCCATTTTTATATAATATAATTCTGCAGAAGACTTATCTTCTGAATACATATCTGCTTGTCTTCCTTTTACAATTTACTGATTAAATTCGCTATTATTTCTTTTTGCATTCACTGAAAAAAATAAATTAAACATTTCTGAATTTTATAAAGTATTATAATCCTTTTCAAACTAACGACATGCATACCTCAACTATTTTTAACCAAACTGATCATACTGGATCTGGCCTAATGCTCACCCGCTATGATAATGCTGAGTCCAATGAATACTTAAGTGACTCTAGCAGTTGTACTGATAATGGATCCAACTTAGGATCAGATAATTATAATAATTGCGAGTCTAATTATGAGTCAAATAATAAAGAAGCTTCCTGCATCTTAACTAGCATTATCAAGACTCCATTTGTACAAGAGAGATGGGACTTATCTATTTACTTTAAGGCAGAAAAAGTTCAATAATAGTTTTTCTCCCAAAAATTTGATAAGTGAAATCTGAAAAATTGTCTTATCATCATCTAGAGATATGTTGAATGATAAAGAATCATTGGAATGTCTTCCAATTTATTCATTTCTCTTTTCGAATGAAAAAGGCTCTAGCTTATATAACGCTTATGACTAAAGTGAGGTAGAAGATAAATTAGTTATCAAAATCGACCAAGATAGTGATCATGCTCCCAAATTTTCTATTGCAGATGATATTTCAGAAGTATATGGCATACCTAGGATTCATAAATGTATTAATAGCCAAAAACCTTTAAGAGCTGTGATTGATATAGATGCTTCACAAGAAGATATGGAAACAACTGATGTTAAGATGCAAGAAGTATTCTTTTGAATCAGCCTATCTTTTATAAGAACTTTGTATTGAATTCTTAATTATAGCTGGGAGAACATTCTCAATGGATTAGTAATCACTATATCATCAGATCATAGCAAATGTAGCTACCATATTTTATATGCACTGGCTCTTCTTATTGATCATCATTAACTCAAAGCATTTACTGAATTAGTATATACTATAACTGAGAAAAAATTTGGCAAGTTTATCAATCAAAAATTACCTGATCAAAATTTTAACCTTTGTCTTATTGGTTCGATAAAAAAAGGTCGTGTAAAACGCATTCTTCAATTCTCTTTAGATAATGGCTGAAATGAACTCAATCACATTAGGATTCAATCACCTTTTAGTTTAGAATTTGAAATAAGATCTCGAATGCTTAGTGAAGAAAAAAATAATAATCCATTAAGAATAATCATAGGTCAGAATGTATTGCAAAAATGCATGAAACTTGTTTTGCAAAATCATTCTAACTATCTTAAGGATTGGACTATCAAAGAAAAGGACTCAGAAAACTTCGTATATTTTAACTGGAAAGGTCCACTAGAATGCCTACTATGTAAACGTATACATGACAAGGATCAGCAGTGGTTCAGTCGTGTATATGCTAGCAGTAAAACATTTATTGTAAAATGCTTTTGGCAAGGAAGTAATGAATCAGAGAAAGTTTTTGAATGTGACCCATCTATTGCAAAAAAAATTCAAAAAGAAAATAAAAATATCTCTCTCGTCTCTCATAGGATAAAGGGTCTAGATTTTCTTAAAGCCTTTGTAAAAATGCCATCTTAGGTTAAATATAATGAAACCCTTACAGCGACAGAATATATGAGGAGAGATATGTAAGACCATTACCCAATGAAAGTGATATCTATGTAAAATCACCTTGGGAGACAGGAAAAACATATATTCTAGAGCATCTTATTATATCTGATAATGTGAATTTATTAGTATTATCCACATGTCACTCTTATTCAAATGTTGTTAATATAAGACTTAATCTCAAATCATATTGTGATATTGATGATAATATAAATCTACCTGATCATAAGAGGGTAGTTTGCCAGTTAGAAAGCTTACATCAGATTACTAATAATTGTAAATGTGGTAAAAAATGTAAATGCCTTCCAATTTAATATGATTTATGGCTTGATGAAATAGTATCTATAATTGCTCAAACACAAAATCGTCTGGTGGGTCAATCAATAGAAAAGTTATATAAATTAATCCAAGAGGCGAGACGTATTATTGTTATGGATAATAACCTAACTGACCTCAATATTGAATAGATTAAAACCCTTCACAAGGGTTTACCTTTCTCTATTATTCATAATACTTACAAGCCTCAGAAAGCAAGATGTTCTGCTTGGTCTCTAATAAAGAAATTGTATTAGCTGAACTTTGGGATTGGGCTAAGAAAATAACTTCATTACCTATTAAGAATTGAAAAAGTGCTTCACTTATCTGCCATCTCAGAAAGGATATACAAGGGATTGTTCATGCTCTTAAGACCGATTTTCTAGAACTATGAATTAAGAAATATCATGGTAAATCATATCCTGAGGAAAAGGCTCATGATTTTAGCAATGTAGAAGAATCATAGAAAGACTTAGACCCAATTGTATATACTAGCACTCTAAAAATAGGAGTATCATGTACCAATCCTAAGTTTGAGCGGATATTCTGTTTTTTTAATAGCTTTATAGAAACAAATTCTAGAATGAATCAGATAATATTTTGCATGTGATACATCAAAGATTACATATGTCATATCAAACAAAGATCATCTAATGTTCCCATTACAGAAGAAGGTTTATTTCAATAGTTATTGAATACCAAATGTGAATGTCTTCCTCAAGAACTTTAGAATAGAGGAATTTTTCCAGATATAAATTCTATTATCCAGAATAAAGATGTGTCAACTATTCGATTGTGGGTAGCATATATGTTGAAAATTTTCCATTCCCAATATTTATTTGGTTAGAGAATAGTTGATTTTCTCCAAAGGGCAGGTATGGTAGTTTCTGTCATAGAATTTGTTTCTAAACCTGAAGATACTACAATATTGCTATCCCAAACAGTGAAGATGAGTTCTTCTATTATTAAAGCAGAGGAGATATCAGATATATCTAATACTTTTATTGTCAATCATGAGACTGCTGAATTATTGGAAAATAAACCAAAGAAGACTTTAAAAGAGATACGCTCTTTAGACTGGCATCATATTGTGGATTGCTATGGGATTTTACCTGAATTACTAACCAAAGACTTCATCTCAAAATATGGGAATTACAATCACATGAAATGGTTTAGAGCTTATAGGCAACTATGAGATGCTGGTATTAGTAATAAAACAGCAGTTGAGCAATTTTTCGTAAAGATTATAAAGAAGATAGACTTACAACTGCAACCTGAACTGAGAGGCATCGAATTTGTCTCAAATTATTAAGAGTTTGCACACCAGCTAGAAATATCGATGATAGAATACGATATAAATCTGATGATATTAAGATACGTCTGAATTCTCCTAAGTCATTATCATATCTCCATGATTTAGTTTCCAAAATATCTCAGGTATTTAATAATACAGATGCATCACACAGAGCTAAAAAATCAGGATTGAAAACAGATCAGGCAAAACTTGGTTTACTGAATTCAGCACTTCATATAACTTATGGGCTAAATTCAAGGCTATAGATAAGAATCTCAAATGTTACTATCTGGTTGGATCGTTTGATAGCAAAGACGCTCCTGAGTTACCTTTATACCAAATGGGTGAAGAAATTTATTGGAAAAATAGAGAAGATACTCGATATAGGTATAATAAACTCCCACCTGATGAATTATTAATGGAAAATCTTTTGAAGAATAAGCAGACCAAAGATAGTTCCAGTTCTAATGTGAACATTATGTCAATTGCGAATGATATTCAAGACTTATTTGATATTGTGTAAGTAGATTTTATTATAAAACAATCTGGATATACTACTAGACTTCACAAAAATAGGTCATACATTTGAAGATAAGTCTTCTGCCAATATTTATATAATAGTTTATGCAGAAGACTTATTCTCAAAATATATTTCTTCCTTAGGTTTGCAAAGTAAATCTCTTTAGAGCCTCAGATAAGTGGTAAGAAAAATAACCCTATCATTTGAGAAGACGCTAAAAGCGATAAACTAGCAAGACTTCTATCTGATAATATCTAGTAGTATTTTTTGCTTATTCCTCGACAGACAATTCAGAGAGGATTCTAGGTTGATAGGTCTCAGCCTTATACTTCTACCTCATTCAATAATTTAGTACATAAAACTTTGCAGAATATTTGGTACAATATTTAGCGCAATACCCTGAATCAGCATCAGTAGGAAATTCACAAATAAGGTATAGTTTTTTTTTCATATTTTTTTCATATAATTTCCAATGTCTTACATGGCGAGTAGTATGAGTACAGACTCCCCCACAAATGGAACCATCTTTCTTGATAAACTGGCAAGTAACACAATCCATGTAAGTATTTTAGGATATAAAAACTTTTTTACTTTTAATTTTATAATAAATATGTATTTAAATTATTCAGTATTAAGATAAGTTATAAATGACTTTTCATACTAATGTTATAAACATATCAGGCTAACCGACAGAACGCAAGTCCGCTTACAAAAATAAATATATGGGGCCTTTGCAATAGAAAGGGGGGAAACAGCCGGAAAAATCAAAAGTGAGTTAATGCTAAATTTGAACATATTTCAGCATAAAAATCATATTTGGCATATAAAGTAAAATTAATTTTTCCCGGCAGTTTCCCCCCTTTCTATTGCAAAGGCCCCATATAATCCTAAAACTAATCACATGATAATTATAAATGGACCAGTATATTGTAAAATGCTACTCGAAGGCTATATTATATGCATTGAAAAGAAGAAAGGCTTTTGATTCTGCCTTTACACGAATTTAAAATATTAAGAAGATATTTTTCTTTCATTTCCTATCACATTTGGAGGATTGTGTCAGAAAGAAGTTTGCTAATACTGATTAATAAAAAATAAGTCTATTACAAATCTTGCTCCAAGTCAATTGGTACAATTTCACTTTATGTCAACTATTAAAATTATGCTGGGGGCGTAAAGAGACAAAAGCTAAAGGAATGATGTACTCATGAAATTCCTCCATCACCTGAATTTAACCTTTTAAAGTATAGGCCAAATTCTTTATATTATGCATTCACTAAAACAAATGCTTTAGAACTGGAACAAATATTAGCTCTCGAATGTGTAGTTACGCAGTAGAGTTGGAAGAAGATCCCAATGAATATATGGACATGAAAGTACGGGAAAGTTTAATAGGAGAAGAAATTATCTGTCATAGACTTAGGATGACAGAGTCACAACCTTGTGACTTGATACTGATGAGAAATGGCAAAATTAATAAGCATACTTCAGGAGAATGGTATCCTTTGGTAAAAAGTGAGTAAAAAGCCAGTTTATAGGTAAGGTGTTTGGATAAGAGGGTCAATTTGTTCTTTATAACTAAGTGATATAAAATTCTGAATTATTATTTTTTGTTCGCTCGGAAATATTTTTCAAATTAAACTTTTTTATACGTAATATAAAATTAGTACGTTTTAATATTCTTGATTATACTGTCATAAAATAATATGGTAAAAGTTACTACAGATTTTATGAAATGCTATAAATGGACTTCTGAAACTCTATCATCTGAACTAGCTAAATACACAGAGGAAATTAATGAAAGTTTGAAGGATGATCGCAAAGTAAGATCCAATGCCAAAATGCGTTTTCGACAATTAGAGCTTACTAAGAAACAAGTAGAAGTTCTCATTTCTATTCGACCTACTGGAAAGCATGAAGAAGGCAGGGATACTATTGATAAAATTGCCCAAGAAATTGTGGAAAATGATTACCTGTCTGAGAAAATAAAACAAATTTCATATGATTTGGGAAGTTCTGCGCCTAATCTAGTCATCAGAAGTTCTTGATTTACTTTATTGCAAAAAAAGTTATGGAATCGTGAAGCTAATCGTCTCAAAAAGAAGCGACCAAAATTCCTCATATTATTAGTGAATCGAATGAAATTCAGGCACGACAGCTTGTACTTGACAAATTTGAAGGTGTTGATTAGCCTGAACACTTCTTCTTAGAACCAGTTTGTGAAAGACTCAAAAAATGTGATTTCTCCTTATTACCTTCTAAGGAAGATTTGGTTGATATAATGATGATGTTAAGCATGCGACCGGCAGATATGACAACTCTTCATATTTATAAATATGAAGCATCAGATGAAATCTGATATGACCCTAAATATTCCTGGTATTATACTGGCTACTCTAAAACTAAAGAAGAAACAGGAGTAGGGGAACTTTGGCCTTTCCTCTTAATGGAAAAGGATCCAATATAAGCAAAGGAGTTACTTACCTAGATTCAGAAAGCAATATCAGAAAAATTCACCTTCTTACGAAAAAACAAAAGCGGTATAGTTAATGTAAATCCAATTAATTTCACTTTAGTTCAACATGGGATTATTTCGAGTAAATTGGGGAAGATAGGTACAGACTATGCTAGTAGGATTCATGGAGGTAGGAACGATTCTTATCGTTAATATTTATGAAAGTTGACTTACAAACAAATACAGTTAAACCTTGATATAGCGAACTCTTGATATAGCGAATTTTTAAATCAAATATATTAAAATTACCTTTACTATAATGAACTAGCCAATTAAATTCTTTAAAAAATTCATTATAAGCTTATAACGAAGTTGATATCCAGATCCTAGAATTCGTTATATCAAGAGTTCACTGTAATAAGTCACCATAAATCAGTAGAAAGATATGGCATAATGAATGACCTACTTTGCAATTGATTGAAGGGAACCTCTGACCTGGCAAAGTCATTCAAGTTCTTTGATGAAAACTAATTATATACAGTATATAGATTAGAGGATCAGGGTATTCATTTATTAATTTTATTATTTTGCTCAATATAATATATACTAAGGAATGGTATCACTGTTGTGAAGTCTAGAGCTTAAGATCATGTGAATTAATTATGTCAATATATTTGAATATGTTATTACAATATATTTTAGGGAGAATTTATTAAATCTATGTTGCGGGCAGTTTTTTTTTTAGGAAATGTACTACAGTATTTATAAATAGCCGATATTTGTCATCTCAAATGATAAGCAGGCAGACAAACAGACACAATGTATAGAAGTAAATAGTCCTTCGTTAACGTTCTGGACTAATAAAATACCACAAAAATGGTAACCAATCAAATGCATTCATCTAATAGTACAGATATCAAGCAGGAAGTTATCAGATGTACAGAAAAAATAGCCAAATTACTTAAACCTGAATAAGATGCAAATATATATAATATACTTTCTATTGAAAATAGGATACTAAAAAAACAATTGGAAGATTATCATTCCTAACCTAATACTTTAGAAAGGAGGTAAAAAGATTGAAAAAAGATGTGAGATCCTTAAAAATCGAATTAAAAATCTAGACAAATGTGTAAATAGGGAGACTGTGGTCGACTTAATACAAGAAATAACCTTCTCGCCAAAGATCAAAAAATGTAAGGGTTTCTCCTATTCATCTGAGTCTTCCAAAGATTCTGATTCAGTTGAGATAAATCAGGTAAAAGATAAAAAGACTATTCCTCATAAACACCAAAGAAAAGTACGATGAAAAAAGGTTAAATGGGTTGTAATTTAAAGTGAGCTGAGCTGAAGGGGTTCGAAGAATTAGGCACTTTACATGATACCTTACTGCATAGTTAAAAGTAGAGCTCCGAACAGGTCGGGTCGGGTCGGGTAATTGACTTGACCCGACCTGATAAGGTCAGGTCGGGTCAGACATA